AAGACGAATTTCTCCCTGCGAGATGAATAAAGATTGTCATTGTCATTGTCATTGTCATTGTCAACATGGTTTTTGAAAGTGAAGGTGAAGACGTTTTTTTTACGCCCCTTTCGACACACTTTAGCTTGTATAGGAGGTGGGCTTCGATAATTTTAACTGTCAGGGCCAACCCACGCTGAGAAGACTACAGCGTCCCACCACAAATAAGACCAGGACGCTTGATTTTTAAAAAAAATCACCACACAGAAATCGAACTCAGGTCTTTTGAGCACGATGGCGAAGTGCCCAATCGCTACATCACAGACACCAGTACATAATAATTTTTTTTTAATTTTCTCAGAGAGCAGAGTCATTCAATCGAGCTTGCGTCTCGTCTGCATGTACTGGAGACGTTTTAAGTGCAAAAAGAGGAATGATTATACTGGAGTCCAGATAGAAGAACAAGCACAAAGATAGCCGGTAGAGTGCACATCAAGCTCTAATATTATGTATTGAGTGCTCCTATATATAGCTGTAAGATTTTTTCCGAACGGTCTGAACTAAAAGCTCTTGAGAGAAATTAAAGCCCGAAGCGTTAGTGCGTGAAGATGTATACTTTTTACGCCCCATTGCAACACTGTACGGTTACGTAAAAGGCGAAACTTCCGAATTTGATGTTCGTCTCCTATAAGGATCGAGCCAAATAGAAACATTAATTTAAAGTGTACTTTCCCTTCCTAAAGGACACCACGTTGGACCAACTTAAGACTCAAACACCTGCCGAACCCGCAATCTTACGATGAAGAGAACGTCCAGTATTTATTGTACAATTTGCCGAGACGGGTAACCTGGCCACTTGTCTTACCATTAGACTATCGACTCCACTCAATGCTACCTCTGAATTTTATTACCTGTATTATCTGTCCTGGGCAACAACGTCATTGCACACCGGACAGGTCCATAAGTGCTCAGTAAATAAAATATTATGGAACCCTTCACTAACTTGCTTGTCATCCTCTGAATTACAAAGTTCTATCTGCTCAGTACCTAGTTATGAGAAATTTGACGTCAAAGATTTTGACTTTCTCATCATGTCAAGCTTTTTTTAAAAAATGCAATTCTTTGAATATCTTGATAACAATTCCGAATAATCTTACGTTTTTGATAGAGCAGAAAGAAGAATTGGTTTCTGATCTCATGGTCTTACCAACTCAAAACAGCCAAAATGTCAGATAGAACTGTGTAATTCTAATGCAGTTCAGTATTTGTACAGTTTATCGTGACATTTAACAGGGCCACTTGTTTTACCACTGGGCTATCGATACCACTTAACGCAACCTCAGATGACAAAGTTCTGACATTTTTGGTAGAGCTGGGCGAAGAGTCGATTCCAGAACCGATTCCCAAGATCAATGCTACGGAAGAAATGTTCCGACTCCTTTTATGTAAACCAACGGTTACCAGTTACTTTAGTCATTAAAATCTTATTTTTTAGTTAGAATCCATTTTTGTTTTGAAAAATAAAAGTTGATGCTTCGAAGTGTTCCGAAAAGAAGGTTATCCTAAATCCTGAAGATGTCCGGAGCCAACCAGATAACCACCGGAAGAAATCGCATAATTAGAAAGTAAGTAATTGGGTTCGGAGTCGATTTCTACGATTCCTAGCGTTCAACAATCGGGAACCTAGCCGCCCAGCACTCATTTTTGGCCGCTTTGAGTTTCTGGGGCCCTGGGGTCAGAAATCAGATGTTCTATCCGCTCAATTAAAATCAAAGCAAGTCGTAAGAGTATGCGGAGTCGTTATCAAGACGTTCTAAGAAATTGCATTCGAAAAAGCTTGACATGTTGTGAAACTAAACATTAAAAAAATTCACATTTCTCGAAACTAGGTGCTGGCTGAAAAGATAGAACTTTGTAATTCTAGGGTAGCGATAATGCATTACTTTGTCCAAGTAAATTTCGCCCCTTACAACATTAGGATAAGTTAAAATTTAAAAGCGTCTTTCACATTATTATTATTATTATTATTATTATTATTATTATTATTATTATGA